GACGACGCTCGTCCCGCGCGCGGTGCTTGAGGCTCCCAGCCAGGTGGCTGTCTCTCTGCTTGGGTCGCGGGCCCCCTGGCACTGGCGACAATCCTGCAGCGCCCTCACCTTCAGCAACGCAAAAAGCGCTGCTTGTCCCCCCACCCCACCCCCCCCCTACCCCACCCCTACCCCCACACTGCAGGCAGCTCCCGAGAGTTCAGCGGGTGGCAGGCGGCGCCCGACAGCGCCGTGATGAGCGCCATCATGCGCCGCGCGCACCGCTTCATGCCGCACCTCTCCCCCGCGCTGCTCGACGCCGCGCTCAGCGGCGGCGGCCCGGTCGGCGGCGCGTCGGTGCGCGTGGGGCTTCGGCCCTACGCGCTCGGCGGCCTGCCCGCGATCGGGCCGGTGCCGGGGCTGCCGGGCGTGTTGATGGCGGCGGGGCACGAGGGCTCTGGGCTGTCCCTCGCGCCGGCGACGGCGGAGCTGGTGCTGCGGCAGCTGGGGGAGCACCCGCCGCCGCGCGGGGCGCCGCTGGAGGCGGGCGCGTTCGACGACATGCTTCCGGAGCGGCGGCTGCACGCGGCGGCGGCTGCGGCGGCCGCGGCGGCGTGCCTGCAGCGCTCGCGCTGAGCGCGCGGCGCACCCCGCGGGGCGGTATTCGCGCTGCTGGGGCTGGCTTCGGCGCCTGCTTCGATTTGATGAGGTTGGCGTGCGCACTTGCATTTCGTCTTACCCGGTGTGGCGTGGGCCTCCTTTACGGTCTGCTTCGCTGGCCGTCCTTCATGATTGATCCCTCTCGCCTTTTTGTGTGGTCGCCGCTGTGGGCAGTGTATTCAGAGGCAGGCCGCATGCCAGCGCCGCCCTCAACCTCCTCCCCGACCCCGTGGCAGGACAGGTTCTCTGCATGTCTGTGCTCTCTGTCATGAATGAGCAGGGTGACCCATTGACTTTATTCGGACCTCGCCCGTTGGACGCACCAGGAAGCCAGGAGGGGGGCGCTGCGCAGTGCCGCGGCGACAGGCGGCCGTGCACCAGCTGCGCTCCCTAGCAAAGGGGTGATGCCGGGTCAACATTGTACCACGACACAGAGAAATTGTGCCTGCTGATGGCCTATGTACGTCCAAGGGGTGTTTCAATGTCAAGTTTTTGGCTTGCAGACGCAACGTTGTAATGATCAACGGCCTGTATATCCGGTTTGTGCATGCAGGCAACGTGGCCGCTGGCACTCAGTGTGCCTAGGGCTTGCTTGAATAATGATTTTGGATGCCATGCCCAGATAAACAGGGTGAAAAAGCACCACGTCAAGCTGAAGCCAAAACTGTGGATGCTGCAGGAAAGCCGTCAGTGCGATGGCATTCCCTTTGCAGCGGCGCAGCCCATGGGTTTGAGGTCAATCGCAAGGCTGATTGGGGACATACAGGGTGCAATTGAGGAAGTTGCCAATCAAAGACTGCCAGCAATCGAGAGGACAATGTGAAGCAATGAATACAGAAGGGTTTAGGGTTGTCAACGCTCTCGCTGGCAGCCGCCCGTGTGAAGCTCCAGATTGCTCCCGGTCTCGTGCGCGCTGCACACGGGCTGCTGCTGGCTAGGGATGGGCGTCACTTGATTTGGGCCTGCTGGAACGCCGCCCGCAGCCAATACTGCAGCGCTCCAAACTCTGCGCAGGTGGCCAGGGAGGGGGGGCAAGGGTGGGTCGGTGAAGTTCCTTCCCTGGGTCTAGCAGGGCAGTGGCGTGCCGGCGCAGGCTGGGACACCATGAGCGCAGACGTGCTTCGATGGTGTCTGGTGAATCGGCGTGGCATCCATGTGCGTGAAAGGCAGCAGGCTCACCCTCGATGTAGTGGAGTGCGAGCCTCTGGCACTTCTTGTCAGCGACGACGCCGTTGCGCCTGTGCGTGATCGTACAAGCAGCATCGGGGCTTGCATTGGTTGCTGCTGTTGGTTTCAGGGCAGGCGATCTGCCACATGTCCTCATTATATAGCAGGAACAACAACTCCCAAGCACCCACTGCTTCAGTCCATAGAAATTGGGCGATTTGCGACATTTCACGCACTCAAGCACACCAATAGCACCGCCGCCATCGACACCAAGAGCACCCCGCCTACCAGACGCCAATGATAGCAGGGTTGATGCTCTTCTTGGCGAGCCCCAGCTTGAGCCCGACCTCCTGATGGGTGGTGAGCTGAAGGGCAGCGCCGTCGGCGGACACCTGCCTGCGCTCATGAGGAAGCGAGGCACATGTGAGCAGTTGGCCCATGCGCGCGCCTGTTGGATGGTAGGCTGGTCGTGACCCGCGAGCGCAGTGGCTGTGTTGAGCAGCTGCTTTGCATGCTGTTGCAAACAGCATGCAAAGCCAGCAGTGCTAAGCTGTGGGTTTCGCGGCAGCTGCGGTGGCTTTGTAAATAAGCAGGTGTATACAACCTTCAATAGTCGTTCAGAGAGAGTTCGTCCACAGAGACAACGCTCGCACTTGCTTGTAGGTCTGTTGCCTGCAAGCTCCCTCCGCATGCCCACGCCTCACCAGGTGTGGTCGATTCTGACGATCCAAGCGCACGCCCCACCGAAGCACCTGCGCTCCGCCAGCTGGATCTTATTGCTGGCCATGGCACGCACCACCAAACCACCTGCAGTTGTGCATGTTGGTGGCAGCTGAGTATTCACGGCGGAGGAGGGGGGGACCGGGGAGGATGCATGGCGGGCCTTTGGGGGCGTGAGGACTTTCACATGCTGACCTGCAGCTGACACGTACACACATGTACAAAGCATGATGACTCACTGTTAGTTGGGTCGAGGCTAAGCTTAACATAGTCGTCAATCGGCGTGGCCTGGGTGATGCCGGGGTTGTCGGCTGCAGCGCCGCTCGGGCAGGCATATGGTGCGCTCGCGTTACCAGTCTCGCGGCAGCCCGTTGCCTGGAACTCGCGCCAGGTGGTCGTGGGTTCCAAGGGGCCTCTCCTGGAGGCCTTGTCCTCCAGAGGGGTGTGGCTGGTTGAGAAACTCACGTGATCACGTGGGTGGAGAAGCAAGAAGTTAGGGTACGACACGCCGTTGTGGACCTGCAAGCAGCGGGGTCGTCGGCAGCGTTGGTGGCGCAGGTGGGCTCAGGTGCGTGGACTGTTGGTACGAACACCGTTGCTGCAGGTGGCAGATGGGGTACATGATGCATGGCACAACGGGCATTCATGAGCTGGATCGACTGGGTTGGCACAAGGCGTCGCCCAGCAGAGCAGTTGCAGGGGGGGCGCGGCCGCTCAAGTCTCCTCAACACACCGAGGAACTTTGGAGGTTATTGAACAACCTGCGGACAGCCAGAGGCGGCACGTACAAGTGCACGCAGGGTGCGGGATGAGATGATTGTGAGCAGTTGATGCTAGACTAGCCGACCAACACGCGTTTTGGCGCTGTGCGCGGCTGCCCAGCCCGCGGCATCCCTGTCCGCACCCAGAGGACCCCCGAGCGCAAATCCTTCCCCAAACCTGGGGACTTTTGATCTGGGCAAGCATGCGTCGGCCCCCTCACCAGCGCATCATGGCGGGTGTGATGCCAGGGATGGGGCTGTGTTTGACATCCAACACCAGCACGCCGTTGTTGTTGTAGTCGCAGCTCCAGGAGAGGGCGTCGGCGTATGTGCGGAAGTTCCACATGGGGGGCCGGGCACCCACGGCTGGCAAGACCTGGGAGAGGGGGTACTATCGAGGTTGGGCCGCCAGATTGGGGACCAACCAGCTGCAAGGCGTTCCAGATCATAGTGAAGCCGACATGCGGTAGGCGCACACAGGTCATCGGACCCAGTCACCACGTGCCGCACAGCATTGAGTCTCGGCCCGCAGGCAACCTGGACAGTACAGCGACACAGTGCGGCCAAACGTGTGCCCACCGCTGCGTCTGTCAGGGCCGGTGTGTCCACGTCCTCGCGCGGCCAATCGCTGGCGTCATCAGGGAATGTTATGCAGTAGCCGTTGGTGGCGAGCAGCGGGGAGCCTTCGCGAACGCGCTTGAGCAGGCAGTTATTGTTGGTGGGGCTGCCGCTTGAGTAGCGCCTGCGAACACAGGACGAGAGTTGGCGTGCGGGAGGGTTTCGGGTGCCCGTCACGTGGTGGGTCCAGGAAAGCGAGCTGCACGCCACAGCAAAAGCAGTTGCAAGATGGCGAGCTGCAGGTTGGTCATACAGGGGTGAGGAGCCACTCTCAGATTGCGGTGTCCGAGGACGCCCCTATCTGCAACATCACTACTGCCCAGAATCTCTATACCTTAGAGAGCACATGTAGGGGCACGAGTGGACCGCCGCAATCATGTTACGCGTGGGGATTACGCCAAAGTGTCTGGTGAAGGTCCAGGCATCGGTCTGGACAGGCATGGCCCCGGCGCGCAGATAGATCTCTCCCCGGGACGCCTGGTAGCTGTGTTGACACAAATCGAGAGATGAAGGGTGGAGGGGTTGGATGGGGCAGGTGAAGATGGGCAAACAAGGTGGCTGCAAACCCCCTTTGTGGTTACGGCGGCGGCGGCGACTGTGGTGAATGCGGTGGTGTTGGAGTGAGTGAGTGAGTGAGCGTGCGTGCGTGCGTGCGTGCGTGCGTGCATGCATGCGTGCGTGCGTGCGTGCGTGTGCGCGTGCGTGCGTGCGTGCGTGTATGTGTCATAGGAGGGATGAGGCCGCGCGCCGCGGGACACAGCAAACGCATGTGGGTGCTGTTTGCATCCTCCTCGCTGTGCAAATTAATCCAGCGGTTGTCGTTGCCAATCACCTGCGTGTGTTGTTACTAGCATGCAGTCGCTTGTGTGCTGTGCTATCAATCACGGCACCGACTCCATCGCCAGCACGCACTCTGGACAACCACGGGCTCACTTGCTCCAATATGTGCGGGCCTTGGCTCCAGGAGTCGTGTCGACTGTGGGCACCATGCCCCCCGCGCACGCCGGCATGGAGGCTTCCTTGGCGTCCGCCTTGCTGGCGCACGGCACCAGGGTGACGGGGTCGTTCTCAAATGAGATGCGCCTTATGTTGACCGCCTTATTGAGGCCGCTCACAAATGTGCTGTCACCGACTGCAGACAGAGTTTGTGGGGTTGATGACCACACCAAGGAGGCGGGTGCTTATTTGTTTGCTTGCTTGTTGGCATCAGTGCCAGCAGCCACAATTCCAACAATGCAGGGCACCCTCCCCCAGGCATCGCCTGGGAGTGGGACACATTCAGTAATTGTGACTGACGGCAGCGCGGCCGGAAGCAGGGCACACAGGATCGGGCGTTGAGATGCAAGCCCCTGGCCTACTCACAATTCGGGCAGCCGAATGTGACGAGGCCGACTCGAGCTTTTGATTTGATGCTGTCCAGGAATATCTTCCCCTGCAGCGACAACGAGCATTGGCAAAAGGTTGATGTGGAACGCAGTGTGGTCCCAGCTGTCAGGACAGTTGGCGGGCAGGCAGGCGGGCGGGCGAGCCGGCAGGTAGGCAGGCGGGTGGGCAGGCAGTCGGG